ATTGGACATCTTAAAAAAGACTCACCAAAAATTCTAAAGATGGCAAGAGTCAGGTCATAGGTGTCATGCCCTGGATCTCATTTTATCCAGAATCACCCCACATCTGAAATGACAAGTATGTACACCCTACTCTTAAGGATGACTCCTACTCTTCTAACTTTCCTACTGCGTTACCCTCATTGCATTGTTCTTCATACTCCTGAAGACCTCTCTCTTCGGCTCACAATCTGTGTTTGACTTAAGACACATTCATAGAGAACTGTGACTCAAGGTAGAGGGCCATGATTCTATGTCTGTTCGTGCATGTGTGATTTTATAACTTTATTTGACAATCAGTGGTTAGTTCTGATTCACACTGACTATAGATTTTTCAAAATGGTGACAAGTCCATTGGTAATCAATATATAGAGCTTGTTTGGTGAGTCTTCATCCTCCTTATGTTTTCTCGACAACCACACATGGGTCTGGTATGGGACAGTCCTTGTTCCTTTGGCCCACACAGCTTTGTTGAGCCTGGTATCTGTGTGCACATCTGGAGTCCCCATCTCCCTCATAGCAAATTCCTGAGTTTCTTTGAGTGCCTGAGGGATATGCTTCTTGAAGCCCTCTCCACGGATGCACCCGTGAATGCTGATGGCATATTCGCGGGTTGACACCTCATTGATGGCAGAAAGGCCCCTTTTTCTTCTGGCCACCCTTCTTGCAGGAGCCATTCTGCTGGGCCCAAGTTGGAAGCTTATATCTGCTGTTACCTACCATTCATCTTAAGAAATGAAACATTACTGTGATAGGCTGAAAAATGCCCCTCCAAAGATGTCAGGTCCTGATCCCAGAAACCTGTAAATGTTAAGTTTGGAAAAAGGGTCTTTGTGGATGTGATTAAATTAAGCCTCTTGAGATGGCGAGATTAAACTAGATTATCCAGGAGGGCCCAAAATGCAATCACATATGTCCTTATAAAAGGGAGGCAGAAGGAGATTATACACACACACATACCTACATACACATACATACACACAGGAGAAGACCCTGTGAAGACAGAGCAGATTAAAAGATTGGAATGATGTGGCCATAAACCAAGGAATGCTGGCAGCCACCCAAAGGTGGAAGAGGTAAGAACAGTTTCTCCCCTAGAGCCTCCAGAGGAGCACAGCCCTACCTACACCTTCGTTTTGTCCCAGTAATACTGATTTTGGATTTCTGGGCTTCAGAACTGTGACAGGATAAATTTCTGGTGTTTTAGGTCACCATTTTTGGTAGTCTGTTACAGCAGCCACAGAAACTAATACAATTACCAATGCAATGAAAGCCACCTGTCTTCCCCTACCAAATTGCAACCCCCTCCCCCTACTCTCTGGAAGAAACGAGGACCTTGAAGTTGGTGTTTATTATTCCCTGAATTTCATTATACTTTTATCACAACTGTATGTATTCTGAAATAATGTCATTTTATATATAGCATACTGAATTCTTCTGTATATTGCTTTTTGCTCAACATACTTTATAGATTATATATGTTGATACATGTAGCTCTAGTTAGTTTTCACTGTTGCATAGTATTCCATTATGTTGGTGTGTGTATGTTACCACAATTTTTAAATCAATTCTTCTGTTGATGGACATTTAAATTCTTTCCAGTTTTTTAATCTTCCAAACAGTGCTGCAACAAACATTTCTGTTTGTGTCTCCTTGTGCTCATGTGCAGAAATGTTTTTAGGATATTTATCAGAGAAGAGAATTATTAGGTCATCTTCAACTCTACTATTAATGGATATTGCCAAATGGCTCTGCAAAAGAACTGATGTGTACTTGGTGGGTCAGATTTTGACAGAAGAACACTTCAAGAGGAATGATGTGTACTAAAGGTGCAGAGATGGGAGACATGGGAAGTGGTAATTAGTCAGTTCTCTGAAAAAGCAATGGTTCTCAGTCAAGGCATGGAAACAAATATGAATCACTTGGAGGAATGTTTTGCAATCTTTTGCCCTCTTTTGCCAACTCTCTCCTCACTCTGGGGCATGGCAATAGACTTACCAGAGGGTCAGGTTGAACTAGAAGGAAGTTTTAGGGTCTGAAGTTTTAGGGTCTCCACTACAAACAGCAGTAGCAAAAATAAAAAAGGAAAAGAAAATCACCCATAATCCCACCACTCTAACATTAATTGCTTTCATTTTTCTCTGTTCACTTTTAGTCCTTGATTTTATGCCATCATTTGATGTAGCTATAAATACAGCCTATTTAAAATGCTGCATTCTTTTTTTCACTCAACATTATATTGTGAACACTTTTGTCTTAGGACTATTTTGGTTATAAGGAACAATTACTCAGTCAAGTTAAATTATCTCAGAAAAAAAGGTGTGTGTGTGTGTGTGTGTGAGTGTGTGTGTGTGTGTGCACCTAATCTTACAGAAATCCAAGGACAGGAAACTAAGGCAGCTAAGCCCCACAGGAATTGGAGCCAGGACCTGGAAAGCCACCACTAGTGAAGCTGCTCTGGCAGGGGCTCTGGGTGAGTGGCTGGGGTCTCTGCTTATTCCTGCATTTCTGCTCTACACTTACAACTTCAGCTGTGCATTGTCGATAATAGCCACCACAAACTACATGACCTTACAGTTCCAGTGTTTTCAATCATCCTCTTTCCAGATTGCCTAATATCAAATACTGATTTTTTTTTTTAAACAGGGTCTTGCTCTGTCACCCAGGCAGGAGTGCAGTGGCGCCATCACTGCAGCCTCGAACTTCTGTGCTCAAACGATCCTCCTGCTTCAGCCTCCCAAGTAGCTGGGACTACAAGGATGCACCACCACCCTGGCTAATTCAAATACTGATTTGATCCTCCCAATTTATCTTTTCCATTCAATAAGGCAAAAAAGTCAGAGGTTTCTGTTCAGCCTGTGGATTGGCTGTCACTAGTTCAGGTGGACACACCTCGGTCCAATCAGGTGTGGCTGGGGAGGCACAGTCACATGCTCCAGACTCCAGCTCTGCAGGGCAGAGGGCGGCATGGCCGTGTTCTGGGACTTCCCCAGCACTGAGTGTGGCTTCGCAGTCCTCACAACTACAAGTTTTAATGAAAGCGCAGCATTACCTTAAGCGGCTATTTCATAATTTATAATACCATTCCTCTGCTATTAGCTTTAGTTTAGCTTCTTTCAATTTGGGGGCTGTTACAAGTTAAAACTATGAACATTTTTGTGCATACATCTTCCCTTTCATCAAGATTATGTAAAATAATCTTTAAATTACATAGAGATTACATTCTTTGAGCACCTTCAGAATGTAAAACATAATCTTGCAATTTCTTTTTTTTTGTTTTGTTTAATCTGTATATTTGCTAGAGATTTCCACTTACGTAGCTATGGGCAAAATAATAGGATGTGACATCTGGGATTTTCCTCTAAACACTCTAGGAAAAAAATTGGGGGTGGCGATAGCTGAAGCAAGTTTGGTGAAATGTTGATGAGAGTTGGACCGATGACGGGTCTGTGAAGATTTGTTATCTGCTGTTGTTTCTGTTTTGCTGTTCACTCCCCACTTCCCTCCCTTCTCCTCTCTTCTGGATTTTTTTGTTGTTCTTCCCCATGTTCTGGATTTCCAAAAAATCTTCTCAGGTTCAATTACCCCTGATACCTGCTTCATAGGTTCCTTTTGCTTCTTTACATAAAAACTCAAGTCCCTCCATCTATCTACCCATTCAGTAATTCATTCACATAAAAAATAAATTGAGCTTATGTTGGGCAAGACACTAAAAAAGGTACACTTTCGTGTACCTTTCGTCGTTTTAGATGTTACCAGACCGCTGTTAAAAGGAACAAAATCACAACTTACTCGGTATGATGAGATGAAAGTCAGCCAGCTCAACACTCTCAGGTGTCACCGCACTTTAGCAGAGGAGCCAAGTGCCCTCTGCTGGGGCGGGCAGTGTGATGGGACACAGGTGCCACAGCAGGCCCAGCTGGGGAGAGGCTCTTCTCATTCCATACCTGCCCCCTCCTACCGCCCTTTTGCCCAACAGCTCCCAGCATTTTGGAATTTCAAATTGGAAGGTGCATTTTGAGGTCATATTTATTTAGTTAAATGAAAATTGTATATATTAAGATCCTTGGAATTTTTGTAACTTTTAATATAAAGCATTAAAAAGTCTCAGGTGCTCAAGGAAGTTAATATTTTATATTCATGTGGAAAAAAAGCAAAAATCTAATCAAATGGCTTAATTTTCTATTCATTTACTCAAAGCATCAGTAAATTATAAATGTTATGTGAGCTAAGTGGAATTGAAG